TTTTTTGATGTCAATACAGGAATCATTGTCTCATTTTCACCATTAGGAATTTTTTGAAAACGTGCAACCTTCATTTTCCATTGAAACTGCACTTGATTGGTGGCTACCAAGTCTTTTAGTGTCAGCCGCAGCCACACGGGGAACAGAGAGAGGAGGAAGACAAGGCAGAGAAGCCCCCGGGATCCCAGGCTGTCACCCCCGCTCCCGGCCACGCATCCCACGGCTGCTCCCACCACCCCTAGCAGCAGCATACGCGGGCTCGCCAGGGCGCCAGCGCGCCGCGGGCAGGAAGGAACGGCTCCCCATCGGCGGCGCCAGGCGGGAGCCAGTTCCCGGCGTGGGAAAGAGCGACGGGAGGAAGGGAGGGAGGCAGGCAGGGCGGGCGGGGTGGGGAAGGGAAGAGGAGGTGAGGGACCCGTCTGCACCCGCCTCCGCTCCTGCGCTCCGCCCCTCCCCGCCGCCCCAGCGAGCCCCGCACTCCCCGGCCAGCCGCAGACCGAGCTTTCTACTTTATTGATTGTTTACAGAGAGGAAGGGAGAGGGATAGAGAGTTAGAAACATCCATGAGAGAGAAACATCCATCAGCTGCCTCCTGCACACCTCCCACTGGGGATGTGCCCACAACCCAGGTACATGCCCTTGACCTAGTCGAACCTGGGACCCTTCAGTCGGCAGGCCGACGCTCTATCCACTGAGCCAAACCGGTTTCAGCTTTTATTGATTTTTTTACAGAGAGGAAGGGAGAGAGATAGAGAGTTAGAAACATCAATGAGAGAGAAACTTTGATCAGCTGCCTCCTGCACACCTCCCACCAGGGATGTGCCCGCAACCAGGTACATGCCCTTGACTGGAATCGAACCTGGGACCCTTCAGTCCACAAGCGGACGCTCTATCCACTGAGCCAAACTGGCCAGGGAATGTGTTATATTTTCTTGATGTATTGTCCCCTTTGTCATTATAAAATATCCATCTTTGTCCCTTGTTCCTTTTTTTATCTTACAACTAGAGGCCTAGTGCACGAATTCGTGCACAGGTAGGGTCCCTTGGCCTGGCTGGCGATTGGGGCCAATAGGGCTGTCTCACCCAGTCCCCATCCAACCCACTACTCTGTACCTTTGGGGGATGATCAAGGCCAGTCGGCTGGGGGAAGGGACTGCGGGAGGTTGGCTGGCTGCGGGAGGTTGTCTGTGGGAGTGCACTGACCGCCAGAGGGCAGCTCTTGCATTGAATGTCTGCCCCGTGATGGTCAGTGCATGTCATAGGTACCAGCCCATTGTCCGGCCATCCAGTCATAATGGTCGCTTAGGCTTTTATATAGATAGATTATTTTGTCAGTTATAAGGGTGTGTACACGCTCTTTTATCTAGATGTACTATTATATTCCACCTCTTCACTTTGAGTCTATGTTTGTCCTTAAAACTGAGATGTGTCTATAGTTGGGTTTTGTTTTTTCATCCAACCCGCTACTCTGTACCTTTTAATTGGTGAGTTCAGTCCATTTACATTTAGGATGATTATTAATATATGAAAATTTCCTATAGCAATTAGTAAAGCACTTTTAATGATTTTTACAAGTATCTAAGCTACTGCTAAACCAATTTTATTTTCACTAGCTGGAAAAACTTAAGTATTATTTAATATTACAAATTTTCATACTTAAAATCTTAATATAAGAAAAGAAACACACTTCCAAATTAACACAAACACATTTTTAAAAAGTTTTTAATTAAAAAAAGTAAAACTGTCAAACTGAAAATGGAACTCCCATTTGACCCTGTGATCCCACTTCTAGGAATATATCCCAAGAAACCAGAAACACCAATCAGAAAGGATATATGCACCCCTATGTTCATAGCAGCACAATTCACCATAGCTAAGATCTGGAAACAGCCTAAGTGCCCATCAGTAGATGAATGGATTAGAAAACTGTGGTACATCTACACGATGGAATACTATGCTGCTCTAAAAAGGAAGGAACTCTTACCATTTGCAACGTCATGGATGGAACTGGAGAGCATTATGCTAAGTGAAATAAGCCAGTCAATGAAGGAAAAATACCACATGATCTCACTCATTCATGGATAATAGAGACCATTATAAACTTTTGAACAATAATAGATACAGAGGCAGAGCTGCCTCAAACAGATTGTCAAACTGCAGCAGGAAGGCTGGGGAGGGTTGCGGGGCAGGAGGTAGGGGGGTAAGAGATCAACTAAAGGACTTGTATGCATGCATATAAGCATAACCAGTGGACATAAGACATTGGGGGGTAGTGGAGGCTAGGGGACTGTCTAGGGCGGGGGGATAAAATGGACACATATGTAATACCCTTTGTAATACTTTAAGAAAAAAAAAAAAAAAAAAAAAAAAGTAAAACTGTAGACGATATTTAAAAAGACAAGACAATAATTAAATCATAATACTTATGTTCCTTTTAATTTGCTATAATTCCTTTTCTTTAGAGTATTTTTTAATGGTATTTTCCCAAACAAAATTACTAAAAAAGTTTTCCAACATAAAAAAAAGCATTCAGGATCTCCTTGAGAGCTGCAAACAATGGGTGCACTTTTCAGTAACAACACAAACATGTAAAACTGAGGAAGCAACAACTGCATCTGATCCTTACGTGTTCATGCATCTTGTGATACAAACACAAGTGCTTGATCTTGAAGGCTGGAGAAAATAATCCAGGATAAATATCAATGTTTGTCAGAGTAATCTCATCAGCTTTAAATTCCAGCACTGCAATGTGAAATGCCATGACATAGGTTTCACTATAATTCAACTCACAGACCACAACAAATGCTAGCTCCTTTAAAAGCATGATGGTGGTGTATGCATGTGTGTGTCTCTATGTCTGTATTTTGTGCTTTTTAATTTTTAGAAAGTTATTATCATAAAGATTTGATCTAATAATTAAACTTAGTCCTGCCTTTACAGGGATCCTCAAAGTCTGTCATTCTGCCACTAATGCCAAGAAAAGCAAAATGAAAAAGAGGAAGATGAAAAAGTAGACAAACAAAAAAGATTCCCTACCATTCTATTAAGTGTGAATATAATGATTTGCACTCCTATGCAATTAACCATTTTTCTGAATTCATATATTGCTGAATTCAGCCATGAAATCATGTTCATTTTGGTTTATCTAATATGTCCAATTTACCTTTTTTTTGTATAAGTGTCAGGCAATATTTATATATTTACTTAAATTTTGTAGCTATGAATAAGGTATTTATGGTTTGTTTTATGAAATCATAACTGAAATAAGATAAATATTTTCAAACTGCTATGAGTTTGTCTAAATGCCCATTTCAATCATAAATTCAGAGGTCAATGGTGGGTAAGAGGGACATATATAATACTTTCAACAATAAAGATAAGAAAAATAATAAATTCAGTAAAAGTCACAGCAATTTGCAATGGCAGCGTTGGAAATATGATAGAAATCTCAGATACATACTAAGCTTGGAGCATTATACCGTACATGCTAAACTGTCATTTTGGAAGTTGAAGGAAAACTTAAGTAGATTTTCTAGCCAGTTAAGTTTTTAAATATTGGAATTTTCAAAGTAAGTCACAATTTCTGAGATTTATATTGGAAAAAAAACTCAGCAAGAAAAACATTATCAGCATTTATAGTTACTCAGCTAATGACCATCTCAATCTCAATGCATACAAAAATACTGTCACATTTTGCTCTCAGAAATTGTTCTTTCATTCTCCAGTTTAACTCCATAGTCATGTGCACTAAACAGGACTTTATCTTTTTAAAAAATATATATATTTTATTGATTTTTTTACAGAGAGGAAGGGAGAGGGACAGAAAGTTAGAAACATAGATGAGAGAGAAACATCAATCAGCTGCCTCCTGCATAACCCCCACTGGGGATGCGCCTGCAACCAAGGTACACACCTTTGACTGGAATCGAACCCGGGACCCTTGAGTCCGCAGGCTGATGCTCTATCCACTGAGCCAAACCAGTCAGGGACACGAAACAGGACTTTAAAGGAAATGAGCAGCCCTAACCAGTTTGGTTCAGTGGATAGAGCGTCAGCCTGCGGACTGAAAGGTCCCAGGTTCGATCCCAGTCAAGGGCATGTACCTTGGTTGCAGGCACATCCCCAGTGGGAGGTAGCAGGAGGTAGCTGATGGATGTTTCTCTCTCATTGATGTTTCTAACTCTCTATCCTTCTCCCTTCCTCTCTGTAAAAAATCAATAAAATATATTCAAAGGAAATGAGCAGAGGAGAGAAGACCAGTCTCATGCCTTTGCATATAGACGTTCAATGTGGCACGCTAGGCAACATTCCCTTTGGCACACTACAGACTGAATGTTTAGGAGTTCAGTGAATTAAAATTTGTAATTATCAAATTTTCAAGGCACCAACGTAGTAGTTTTCTGGGAATTATCAAAGGCAGAAAACATACTGCCTCATGATAACATCACAACTATAGACAATAAGAACTTCAGGTAGCAGGGATTGGAAGAGCAAATTTTCTCTAAATTCTCTACAAACTAGCTAAAATTTCAGCATTTAGCAAAAGGATTCCAAGGCAGAAAACCAAACTGTGGGGAACCGATAGAGGGTTGAGCCTGGGACTGATCTGCTGGCAAAGTCACAAACAAGTCCCAGCTTAGAGGGCTCAGTCCTCTTAGCATAATTAGGCTTGACCTTATAACACTCTCCAGATCTTACCTGGGAAGCTAATGGGCTGAGGGAAGTGCAGGGAGTGTAACTATGGTCAAAACAGGTGAAACTCACAAGAACTGTGTAACTATGGTAACCACTGCCTTGTTTACCTCTGACTATAAAAGGTCCCTGCGGCCTGAGCACCAGGGGAAGTCCTTCCTCTTGAGTTGGACTTACCCTCCTGGCCCCCCAATATTCCCAAATTATTTCTTGTCTTTTCTCTTTCATTTGTGTGCGGCTCCTCTTCCAGATCCTGAACCCTGAACCACGCGGGACGTAGAGGGAAACATTTACGACACCAAACCAAATTCTAAGGTTTTACATTTTAATAATGCATCATTCTAGAATGTTCTTGGAGTTCTATGACTGACCTTTGCTAGAAATTCTATTCTGAATGTTAAGGCCAGAACCAATAGCTGAGAGTTCTGGGTAAACTTGGTTCACATAAAAGAAAAGGCATTGCTATATTCAGAGTCTTTTTAGCAGATTATTTTGTGGGACTTGCCAAAGGAAGAAAGGGACTTCTTTAGATCTGTGCTCCACCAACAAATCTGAGTGACATTGTGGGTTTACTGGCCATGCTGAACAAACACAAAGAAAATGAGAATGGAAGTCAGGAAACCAAGTTCACATCCGGGCTCTTCCACTAAAACCCTATTTGTGGATGTATAGGATGCATTTTCCCCATCCAAAGACAAGCCCCAAATTGTCCCATACCCTTTAGCTATAATGAATGATGCCACCTTTAGTGGCAAAATGAGAAAACAAAATACAACAACAAAGAGACAAGTTTCACATCATAATGGTATTTCCTTAACAGAAATAATAAACCATGAGCCATCCAATAGATCAAAGAGAAAATATGAGCTATTACTCTAACAATTTGGATTTAAATTTGTTACTACCATAATGGTGCCCCATACCAATATTGATCAATAGTTATATATTTCTTTGCAGTGCAGAGATTTTCATATTTTTTTAAGGATAAGACTTTTTCTGCTAATTATAAAACCTATGATGTTCTACTGGATCCCCACATATAAGATAACATGTTATATTAACAAAATAATATTTTTAATTTTATACTTTCAGATTGTTGTTTATATATAATGAAAAGCAGTTAATATTTTTGTTTCGGAGTATTTCTTGTAAAACAGGATGTTAAAATTTACTTATTTGCCCAGTAGAGATAATACAGGTGCCTACTATGTTCACAGGGCTGTTGCATACATCAAGGAGATCATTTATGCAAGTTTTCTGAGATAAATAAAGCATTATGCACAACACCTGTATGCTGAAACCAGCTATATGAGTAACTAGAGATTAAGTCAGTTCTTCTTGGGGAATAGACTATAGAACTTGCCATACTATAGCTAAGCAGTAAGGTCTATCTGGTTCCTTAACTAAAAGCTGGGTAACCCTATAGAGGGGAAAAATATTAGAGACCTTTCTAAGGCTGGTAGAAAGTTAAATTTCCTTACCAATGAATCAGCTGCATTATTTATGTTGTGCAGATTAAATTCAAAGTTGCCCAAAAATTTAAAGAAAAGAGGAGGCCACACCTACTAATGATGTAACAGATCAAATGTTCTTGTCTGTGGGAAAACACAAAATTCTAACTCTTTGCTAAACAAACTCCTCAGGTTTAACACAATTAGTCAATTTTCTCTCAAAAGCTGTGGTTGCATAGGCACTTCTTATGATTCAGTCTTCCACAATTTAAGTAAGTTTTCTTAGAAAAGCAACCCTAGATATGGTTCATTCTTTAACACTGCCCAGATAGCTGAAATCTAAATGCTTCTCCCAGATGTATTTTAAATATAGCTCTGTAAACATAATCATTTTGTCAACTTTTAGTTTCTTACATAAAATGCTCAATATACAGGCCAGCTTTTACTCAGACTACCTGTTTTAGATATGTGATACAATGGGAAAGATAACCAGCAAGTAAAGATAGAAATTGTGGTGAAAAAGTTGGAAGGAATACATTAAAATAGCAATCTTTTTCACTGACTGGTAGGATTATGGCTAATCCAATCTTGATTTTGGTTCACTGAACTATATTATCTACAAGTTTTTAAAATTTGTTTTACAACAAGCATGTATTACTTCGATTACAAAGCTGTAGAAGAGCCAATTGCATAGAAACAGTTGCAGGAATCCAGGATAAATATATCACCTCAGCCCAGCTGGGGAGGCTCACTGGTTGAGCGTCGACCCATGAACCAAGAGGTCACTGGTTTGATTCCCAATTAGGGCACATGCCCAGGTTATGGCTCCATCCCCAGTAGAGGATGTGCAGGTGGCAGCCAATCAATGACTCTCATTATTGAAGTTCCAGTCTTTCCCTCTCTCCAAAATCAATAAAACTATATATAATTATATATATATAGGAATTGAAAGTCTAACAAAAGTTCCTTTTTCACAGCTAGCTCAACCTAAACAATGTTAAATGAGTAATAACATATTTTAAAAAATAACAAGAGAGATAAATAGCATTTTACAAAAAAAAAAAAAAAAAAAGCCTACTTTCTTTATAGGGCAACTAATTTAGCAACATTTTACAAAGCTTTTAAAAGTCAATTGTCAGGGAGCACCATTAGATATTCACACAGATATGGCCCAGGCAGCTTAGAGACGACTCTTCCTCATCGGTGAGATACCTAATTAACTGCAACAAGATGAAACACTCAGCGCATCTGGTTGGGGCCAACATGCATGATGACATGCTTCTCATAAGCCCTTTTCATTGTTTTCTCAATTTGCTTCAGAAACACTTGTGGGATTCGTCCACATAAAGTGTGTACAGTTTCCAAAAACTTCAACTGAAGAGGGTAATACATGGATTGAAAGAGATTGTCTTGAAAGGGAAACTGAAAGAAAGAAAAAATTCATTTGAGTTACTAAAATGGTATTTAAAATGCAAATAACTTTTACTAAGAAATGAAACAGGAAATTACTATAAGCATGCAGGCACAGTTTGTATATACATGGTGAAAAGGCCTCTGAGGACCCAGGGTCAAATCTTTATTCAATTCTGTGCAATCCCAAGCAATCATTAACCCATTCGTGGCCTGTTTCTTTACCTAAAAAAAAAAAAAAGATGATGTACTTGGGTCCTTAAAGCTCTTAAAATCTAAAAGCATGCTCTTATAAGACTCAAGTAGATACTTAATCTACTATAATAAAACAGAAAATTCTTCATAATTTTTGCCTTTATAGTCCAGAGTTTAGCAATTATTACTAACATTTATTAACAATAAACTTTATTTTAATAATTCAGATACCAAATTTTAGTTGGTGGTTACTTCCCTCTTACTATTAAGGTTTCAAAAAATTTCTCTTGTTTTACCATGGAATATGTCCACGAGCATTATTTTCTAAAATAAAAATTTCAGATCATTTAGTTATAACCATGTGTCAAAGTTTTATTACAATACTAGAGGCCCTGCACCCTCTCCAATCTGAGACTTCTTGGGGGATGTCCAACTGCCAGTCAGACATCCATCTCACAATCCAGGACTGCTGGATCTCAACTGCTCACCTGTCTGCCTGCCTGATTGCCCCTGACTGCTTCCACCTGTCAGCCTGACCACTCCCTAACCACTCCCCTGCCAGTCTGATCAATGCCTAACTGCTTCCCTGCCAGCCCAGTTGCCCCCAACTGCCCTCCCCTGCCAGCCTGGTCACCCCTAACTGCCTTCCTCTGCTGGCCTGGTCATTCCTAATTGCTCTCCCCTACAGGCCTGGTCGCCCCCAACTGCCCTCCCCTGCTGGTCTGGTCGCCCCTAACTGCCCTCCCTTGCTGGCATGATCACCCACAACTGCCCTCCCCTGCCGGCCATCTTGTGATGACATGGGCACGGCCATCTTGTTACCACGTGGGAGCCGCCATCTAGTGCAAGGACATGATGGTCAATTTGCATATTACCTCTTTATTATATAGGATTGTTGAAAGGGAAAAGGCCTCTAGTAACTCAAGTTAAAGATTTATTGTTGGGAAGGACATTTTATACAAAAAAAAAGAAAAAGCCAGAGAAATGAAAGGAAGAAAAGAATGGTGAAAGGTCAGTGTGCTCTTGAGTAGGCGAGTGTCTGGTTCCCTACAACAAGCTTCAATCCCTTTAAAGTTCATCAGAATTATTACTTAATCATGTTTAGCAGAAATTAAATTTTTCGAAGAAGGAGGCTAAACATTATGTGATACAAGATGGTTCTGTCCAAAACCATATTTAGGACACTTCCTTTTTTCCATAGAACAATTTAGACCATTGATGAATTCCTTTTCACTACTGTATCCCCAGTGACAGATACAGAGTACATCAAAACTATGGAGTCATCCTTGATTCCTCCCTTTCTCTTACATTCTTCAGCCATTCCATCAGCAAGTGCTGTAACTCTGTCTTGATAACATATCCCAAACATGCCCACTTCTTCCCATCTTCCTGCTATCACACAAATGCATGCCAGCACCATCTCTCACCTGGATGGCTTCAATAAGTCTCATTAAAGAGCCATTGTATTTTCACTCTTGCACCCTTTCCACCAAGTTACCAATGTGATATTTTTAAAGTATAGATCAGAGCGTATAATTTTCATGCAGGGGCTTTTCACTGCAGTTAGAATAAGAGTCCAACTCCTCTCTTGCCCTAAAGGTCCCATGTGACCTAGAACTCTCCATGCTCATCTCCACTCTCCTCTTGTTTCATCATCCTGCTCACTATGGCTACTTCCATGTCCTTTGGGAGCATCAACTCATTCCTGCCTTGCTGCCTTTCACCAGGTTAATCCTTCTACATAGCAGTATCTTTCCCCAGACGTCCCCATAGCTGCTTCCATCTGATCATGCCTCAGGCTTACATAAGCCACCCTGAGGATCCTAGCTCATCAACTCTCCTCTTTACCTGTGACTCGGTCCCTCACCCTGCCCTGGTTCCCTTTTGTTACCTCATGCTATCTGATAGAATTTTCTTTTTTAAATATATTTTATTGATTTTTCACAGAGAGGAAGGGAGAGAGATAGAGTTAGAAACATCGATGAGAGAGAAACATCGATCAGCTGCCTCTTGCACATCCCCCACCGGGAATGTGCCCGCAACCCTGGTACATGCCCTTGACCGGAATCGAACCCGGGACCTCTCAGTCCGCAGGCTGACGCTCTATCCACTGAGCCAAACCGGTTTCGGCTATCTGATAGAATTTTTAAATTTTTATTGTTCATGTGAGTATTATCTGGCTTCTCCTACCCAAAATACATGCTTCATGAGGATAGGGCTTTGTCAGTCTTGTTAGTTCTGACTTCCCTAGAGCCTAGAATTATTCCTGCATAAAATAGGTTCTTCTTAGATGATTGTTGAAAGGATTACTGAAAGAATGTATATCTGATAGATGAATTTAGTTGGATCATGATGGGAGGAGATTGCACTTCCTTTTTACACAAACACATATATACCAGATTAAGGAGTGTGTGTGTGTGTGTGTGTGTGTGTGTGTGACAGAGGAGATAGAGAGAGAGAGAGAAGGAACAGAGACAGGAAAAATATTTTCAAAGACAAATGTGAAAGGAGAGAAGTATGGCGAGATAGAGAAAGAAAGGTAAGAAAAGAAAGTAAGTGAGAAAGTGTAAGCAATGTGGGGAAAGAGATAAGTGTGAAACTGTTATCATCAAAAAAATTTCTAATTATTGAGCACAACCATATGTGAGGCATACTGGAAGTTTAAAGACCTGATTTGTTGAAATCTCATAACACTGTTATGAGGCATGTAATATTATCTCCATTTCACAGATGAGGAAACTAAGGCCCAGTACAGGAATAGCACAGAGTTAATGACTAATAACCAGAAAGTGACCAAATTTGGACCTGAACCCAGGTCTGTTAATCCACAAAGACAAGCCCTGACCCTACTTATCTGTGATGCACAGCACTGTGGAGAGTCAGGAAATACATATTTTATAATGTAATCTGCCTATATTTACTCATATTTCAGGATGGGTTTAGTGATATGCTGATTGAAAGGCTTGAAAGAAAAAGCCTTTTTTTTTGATCCACCAGAAAACAAATAAGATGCATTATAACTATAGAATCAAATCAGTTCCAAACCAGGGGTGACAGATCACAAATGAAATCTGAGAATGGCTCTGACGTACACATATCTGCTGAACACCTCTTTACATGCCACTGTACTCCTGAATGAGCTTGCCCCTGGAGTCAGTGTTTGAATATCTAAGTATGATAATATCAATAAGTACAAAACAAATTTCCTATGTATGCAAATCACCTGGCATTTGCAAATCAACAGCTGGAAAAAATAGGAAATGAGATGTTAGCTATGGGCATTCAAAACTCTCTGCACAGAAGATAATTCTGGGAAATTTTGAGCTGGAATTCTCTGGCAATCTCCTTAGTGAAATGTATATTTTCACATAGGAGAAATGTGTTATTATATTGCAGGATTCACCCTCCACCTCACTCCTGCCAAAGCCAGCACATGAACCTGGGGAAGATTCCTCAATCGTAACAGAAAAAAAAACAAACCCTAAAATAAAGTCTACATGCTTTAAGTCAGGGGGTCAACAAACTTTTCCTGTAAAGGGCTAGATAGTAAATATTTTAGACTTTGTGGACTATATGATCAGTCACTACTACTCATTTCTGCCATTGCAGCATGAAAGCAGCCACAGACAATACATTAATGAATAGTTGCCACTATGTCCCAATGCTACTTTATTTATGAATGCTGAAATTTGAATTTTATAAAATTTTCTCATGTCCTAAAATATTATTTCTATTTAAAAATTATTGGATAGCCACAGGGAAATGAGAAAAAATTGAAAGAGAGTAAAAACAATCAAGCAAACAAACAAAAATTCCTAACTCACATATCTTACAAACACTGGCAGCAAGCTAGATTAGGCCTAAGTTTGGTAACCCCTACATTATGTCTTGAAATTGTCAATGAAATTAAGGGAAGAATAGATGAAGTCAGTGAGAACTTCAACAAAGAGGCAATAAATTTTAAAAATACATGGAAACCATGAAAAAAACTAGTCAGAATGAAAACACCAACTAGGAACAACAAAAAGAAAAAATAATTTTAAAGAATGAGAATAGTTTAAGGAATATTTGGGACAACATCCAGGGTAACAACATTTGCAGCATAGGAGTACCAGAAGGAGAAAAGAGAGAAATAATAACTGAAAACTTTTCTAACTTGGTGAAAGAAATAAATATATAAGTCCAGGAAGTGCAGAGAGTCCCAAAAAAGATAGACAAAAAGAGGTCAACACTATGACACATCATAATTAAAATGCTAAAGGATAAAGACAAAGAGAGTATCTTAAAATTAGCAAGAGAAAAGCATTTAGTTACTTACAAGGGAGCTCCCATAAGATTGTTAGCTGATTTCTCAACAGAAACTTTCCAGGCCAGAATGCACTGGTACAAAATATTCAAAGCAATGAATATTCAGAGTGACCTACAATCAAGATTACTCTACCTAGAATGGCTATCATTTAGAATTGAGGAAGACATAAAGAGCTTCTCAGAAAAGAAAAAGCTAAAGGAGTTTATCACCAATCAACCAGTATTAGAAGAAATGTAAAGGGACTTCTTTAATAAAAAAGAGCACAAATATGAATAATAAATAGCAAAAACTATATACCTATCAATAATCACTTTAAATATAAATGGATTAAATACTCCAATCAAAGACATGGGGTAGATTAAATAAATAAGAAAACATGAACCAGAAGTATGCTGACTAAAAGACAACCATTTCAGATAGAAACATAAACACAAAGAGAAAGCAAATGAATAAAAAAAGATACTTCATGTAAATGAAAACAACAACAAAAAGCTGGTCTAGCAATGAT